CCCCAAAACCCCAAAACCCCAAAACCCCATTAATAAATATTAAATAGAAAATTGGTAATTATTGTTTTTAAATTAATATTGAAATATTTCTCAAAGCTTTCCAGTTGCGATCTCCATTAAAATACCTCTTAACTCATCTGATTTTGCAGGTTTTGTCAAAAATCTTTTCATTCCTACACCAAGACATTTTTGTTTTTCATCATTGTATGCTGTTAAAGCTACTATTGGAATCTTTTTTACAAGTTCATTTGAATTCATTTTTTGGCATAAAATTCTTGCAGCCTAGAAATTTACATTAAAGAAAAAACTAAAATACCTCAAGACCATTCAGAATAGGCATTTCATAATCCATTATTATGAGCCTTAGCCCCCTACAGCAAGTCTTTGAGTCTAATTCTTCTACTTAATCGATGCAGTCTTAACCATTACAAGCCTATATACAGTCGAGTCCAAATAACGTTTATATGACTTAAACTAGGATATATCTATTATAGTCAATGTCATCAACTATCATAATCTCTGCACAGCAATTGTTCTTTATTTTCTAAATCGATGGACCTTGCTAGACCTGAATTTAATTCTATTATTGCCTATAAGGGTAATCTTGGTTTTAAGGAGCTTCTTAAGCTGCTAAATTTTGTGCGTTACTTTCATGGGCTAATGGATGATTGTAAATGCTACCATCTCCTAAGAAATCATTTATGTTATTTATATCAGATGCTTAGTCATCTTTTTCCAAATATGGTTTCGGGATAAAATGATTGATATTTGTGCCCATTGAGTTGAATTCTCTAGCCTAATCTTTGATCTTACCTCCATCATCCTTCGATTCCTCAATGGTCTTTTAGATTTCTATTTTCTAAATTTTGGAGTCTGATAAAGAATGGTTTTTCTTTCTGATGATAGAACTTTCTCGGCAATCATCTATCATCAATTATCTTGCAGAATTCTAACTGCTTTCTTTACCACTAGGTATAAATGATGGATTTTAAGAATTGATTAATTTAAAAGCATTTGGCTCTTTCACCTTCATTTTCCTCATGTCGTATTTTTCTTCTTCAAAGTATAAATTATCCTAATGGTTTTTAGGAATAGTTAGGAGCAATTATGAGCTGAGCTTACTATTAATATTTTCCTATCTTAATTTGTTCATAGAGCTACTTCTTCTAATTGACTTTTCTTCCTCCATAAACATGTTTTCCTCAATATTCTCAAAGTAGTTAAATGGATTCTTTATGGGATGAGACTCCTTAGGCTCACATTATTAGCTATGCTGAGTTTAAATGAGTTTCCGCTTCTAAACATAATAAGAGCTGTTATTATTCATTTGTTAATGCCTCTCCCGACCAAGCAACTTTGCATAATCACCTATTATATCAATTTTTATGTGTTCATCCAAGCTGTCTAAAGTTCTACCAGTGTTAAGGTTGCTTTAATCTTAATCACCAAACTGAAAGCTTTCTTTTGATTCTTAAATAATATCCTCATTGCTTCCATCAATAACATTCTTTAAATTCAATTTCTTGCCATTTGCCTAACCCAAATGAAGTTGAGCTTCCCTTAAGATTTGTTCATTCATTTATTCTGATTTTTTTGCAGTTATAGTTTTTTTTATTGGCTAATCCAATGTTGACTATTAGTGAGCATAAAACTATGTATGCATGTTTTTCATCGCCAATTACTATCGATTTCTATCAATTTGCTAAGCCTCAGAATCATTTGCTTAAAAGAATTTATTTTCCTGATCAGACATATTTTAACCGATCTTCTAATTTTTCGACCATTTAATTTACACTATATTTTCTTCTTCCCTAAATTACAGCTCAAATAAATCTGGATTTGAAACTAAGTCTTTCAATCCTGTGAATGAGTAATTTTTGTCATTTTGAATGATCTTTTTAATTTTTAGATTAGCATTTTCATAGTTTTTCTAAGCTCTAGACTATTTTTCCTCCTCAAAGCATGCAGTTTTACTACTCATTTACATTGCAGGATTTTGATTTGAAACAGAGCCTTCTGGGTGCATAATATGATTCATTATACTGTTGTACTAATCAGAATTCCTTCTATTATCATTGTTAGTCAATTTGAAGCTCATTGATTACGATTGTTCACTTAGATGTTCGGGGATTGTATGTATTCCTAAATTTAACTAATTTTGATTTGGTCCTAAATTTGTAAATTTATTTTGGAGGCCTGAAAAATTTTTCGCATAGTTAAACTCATCCTAGTCGACTTCATCAATCGGTATATCATTTTAATCAAAAGTTGTATTAAATTTACCAATTTAAGTCTTGTACATGTACACTGCTTCATTCTCTTCAATTTTGTCCTCATCTTAAATGCTCTAGCAGAAATAAATCAATCAAGAAATCATACATAGCCATTTGGTGATATAACCCTGTTCATTTGAGCAGAGTTGAGATCATTAGGATTTAGACTTTTGCTTTTCTGAAGATCTTTCTCAAGAGTGTACTTAATATCGAAATAGAATACTGAACCCTGAGCCAATTCTGACTTGCATCTAATTTAACCTCCAAGGGCAATGCAAAGGTTTTATGAAATTGTTAGGCCCAGTCCAGCAGCTAAATAATATAAATATAAAATTAAATGACTTACATTTCTTGTTTTATAGAGATTCTTTTCCGATTCCAGTTTAATTTTGTTCGAACAAATTAAATATAGTTTGAACTCTCTCCTTCTCGATTCCATTTCCAGTGTCAAGAACCATAAATCTTATATGAAAATCATCCTTGTCATTTCCGATTTCAATTTTTTTCGTTTAGTATTTCATAATCTTGAACTTTATCCAGCCTTTTTAAGTAAACTTTTAAGCGTTTAACAAAAGATTCAGTAATATCTATTCTAGTTTCTCAGGATCACTGTATATAATCTTGGGCAAATCAGGGTCTCTGCTCACTCTGAAAACGACATTTTACGACTTAAGCTGATTAATCATAGTTTTCTCAATTCTTGTGATAAAACTGTCCAAATCAAATTCTTATTTGGAAAGTTAAAGCTATCCGCTTGAACTGCATAACATTGAATAATCCTATTTTAATTAAAGGTATTAGATGTTACAATGAAATCGTTGATTATATTTTTTAAAACATTAGTGCATGACTCTGCAGTTGATACAACTGATTTTAAATTCTTAAAGGCATATGGATTTGTCTTCAAATCAATTATATGCTTGTTAATAAGTTCAAATGAGAATAGCAAAACTGTAAAGTTAAAACTATTAATACTTACAATTCAATGGGTTCTTTAGCTCGTGAGTGAATGATTTGAATATTCTGTTTTTTACCTCGTCAACTAGCTTTTTTTCTTGTATCACTTTTTGATTAGTAACATCTCTCATTGTTAAAAGTAAACATACTTTTCCCTCAAAGATAATTTTGCTCACTATAGTTATGTAATGTTTAATGATATCACATAATTAAAATAGCTTACTGAATATCATATAGTACTTTCTAGGCTCTATCTTAGAATTTTTATTTTTCTATGTTTGCTAAACTGTAAAGTATTCTCGTGACTCTGAGGCTAATGAGTTCTGCCTATTTTAAGACAAAATGTTCTTATGGTAAATTTTGAGATCTTCAAATAGTGTAAATGCTGTTCCTTGGTTATTCTATCCTTCTCGAATAAATTATTTCAAATTTTTAAAGAATGAATCTGGGTTTGAGGGATCCCCAATCAAGTCAGTGAAAATCTTGTTTGAAAAAGAAGTGCCAGTAAAGTCAATGACACCGATACCATCAGGTACTGTGTTGAAAATTTACTCAATCAAATTTTTGCTCTAAAAAGATAAAAATATCTAAACTTTACAGATTAAAGCATATGGGTGTTTTCAAACTATGTATAATCAGTGTCCTCTAAATACTTCAACCTTAAGATACTCAAATAAAGAGTTCCAAGAGTATAGCCGAATAAACAGATATTTTCGATAAATGACTCATTTTACTGGTACATCATTATACTTGAAAAAGCACAGCATGATTATTTGATTATTGGGGTGTATATAGATTGATGTAACAGCTCAACGTAAAAGAATGATATTGGAAAACTATTCAAAATTTAATAATTGATAATAACTTACACCATAATAAGTGAACCTCTAACTACATATTCTCTCGAGATGATGTAAATAGATTAGAATATAATGAAAAACAGAATTCCTAATACATCTTGTGAGTAGATATTTCTTTAAGCTCTGTCTTTAGTCTTGAAAAGGCCTGCTGCTAATTTGACTGGTGCTTATATGTATCTCTCAAATCTCCTGTGATATATTTTGCTCTTAATTTTTCTTCCAAAAGAGAACATTGAAGATTAATCTGATATTTCTGAGCTCTAAATAGATGTTAATCAAAATTAAGGACTTACTGCTTAATGAGCTAGAGCTCCTGAAGAATTTTATAAATTGCCAGGACCTTTCTTATTTCTGAACCGCAGTTGATTAGAAGTCTTAGCTATCTCAGGACTGTAAAAAGTAAATATTTCAATTGTTCTCATAATGAAGAAATACAAAAATTAAAAGCCATAATAAGTAATGCCAATTCGGTTAAATTACTTACGATTTACTTCCGAGAAGCATTGAATCTAGGTCAGTCATTGATTCTCTATTGTTACTTTCAGATTCTTGCTAATTGAAGTTATTGCTTAACTTAATGGATGCATCACTAATCAACTCGTTGTAGTTATTGGAAGTTTTGATATGATGAAGATCTGTGTTTAAAGATGATTTTGCTTCTATCCCTCTTTTGTCAGTGATGACCATTTGCTGTCTCTTTTCATCAAATCTATTCATAAATTGCATGTTGAAGTCCACTGACAAAGCCCTCTAATTAATCTTAAGATCCAAATTTTATATTACGTTATTTACAGATAATGAATCATATGTATTGTACTAATTTTCTGATTAAATGTCAGGCAAACTGAGTGCTCTTTCAGCCTTGATTTTGTTGGATTTTTCTTTTATGATTTCTAAATTTTTCTTGATAAACTAAAACAAAATCAAGCTGACTATGAGGACAATCAACGCCCAGGACTTATTGTTGAAATAGGCATCAACCATCGCTACTAAGTAAATGATCTAAGCTATCTCTATAGACTTTAGAATGTTTTGGTTGATCTCGTCTAGCTTGAACGTTATGAAGGACTTTTTGAGTTCCTTACTGACCCAATTCATGCCTTACATTTATATCGTTAGTTTATTAAAATGAAAGGATTATTATTATAAAAACAAAGATTTGCTATTCACTAATGATGTTCTCATTCATCACGGGGTTTTGGGGTTTTGGGGTTTTGGGG